TGAGGTAGTGGCGGCGGTGAGGTCGTGGCAGTAGTGAAGTAGTAGCGGCGGTGAGGTAATAAAGGTGGGTGAGAAAGTGGCGGCGGTAAGGTAGTAGCGACGGTGAAGTAGTGGCGGCGGTGAGGTAGTAGCGGCGGTAAGGTAATAAGGTAGGTGAGGTAGTAGCGGCGGTGAGGTAATAAAAGAAGCAAAGAGAAGTACGAGAAATATACAAGTTAAAAGTATAAGCTAGTAATAATAATGACGTAGAGTATTCTTTGCCTTTAGCACTTGCTTTTATTTATAAATTATTAGGATAAAGTCGATATTAAAGTGTAAAGGTTGATATTAAAGTGTATAGATTAATATTAGATTTTAAAGGTTGATATTAAAGTGTAAAGATCAATATTAGAGTTTAAAGGTTGATATTAAAGTGTAAAGATTAATATTAAAGTTGAAAGGTTGATTCAAATAATAATATATTAAAAAACTCGTCAACCTTAAGATCAACCTTAATATACACCGATTATAATCGGTGTATAATCGGTTGATTAGTGTTAACTCGGTGTTCACTCGGTGTGCACACGGTTGCTAAACGTAGGGGGTGCGCCCGTAAGAAACTATCGATAATGCTACGAACTGTTGAACGGTAACACGGGGAAGAAGATGAATAGAAAGATTCTTGATTGTTATCTAATAAACTCTAAAGAGTAGCCTTCTACTTATATATCTAAAGAGGTCTTGATACGTGATAAGTCTATCACTTGATCACATCCGACACTCTTACTTAAAACTTATTCAAATGAAAAAGACTTTTATTAAAGTTCATAAATAAAGCTTTTACTTGAAGTAGATTCGAAAAGAAAAAACAAAAAAAGATATAAGAGTATTTTATAAAGAAAAAACAGCAAAGGCCGAAAAACTTGATTATAAAAAAAAACTAAAAGACTAATCTAATTGCTCGCTTGTTTTTTAAAAAAAGAAAATCATCTTAATCCTTAGTTCTCGTCTTTTTATTTAACTGCACTTAAAAGAGTTTTTTCTTTTTAAGTGAGCTATCTTTTTCTTTTACTAATTGATCCGAAAGGTGATTAATAATATTATTAGCTAATAGAAAAAGGTGTTGCGTAATGCTTGTCGAATTTTCAGCGTCGTTTTTTATTCGAGAAATAAAAAATTTGCGCGATAAAGCTTAAAAAGATCGAGTCTTGACTTCCGATAAAGATTCTTAACGTGAGATTAAAGCAGCTTTTGTTTATATTTTTCGTTTTAAATTAGATTAATTGATTTTCTTTACTTTTTTTTGTTTAAGCTCGTTTTCCGATAGTAATTAATCGTCGGCTCGCTTAGGTGGGCCTCCTTTCAGCCTTTCAGTCTTAGTCGGTATAAGCGACTGCGGATCGGAAGCGAGTGCGGATTTTTCGAAAATATGTTAGAAATTTTTATTTACTATAGCAAATACTATTACAACTTAAAAATATTTATATAAATAACTAATCTACTACTATATCTTTTTCCGAAACATTTAAAATCGTATCATTTGATGAAATATCTGATTATCGATCGTTATTTTCATCAGATTCTGACTCGTCTTTTACTTTACGCAACGAATCGTTTGAATCTCTACTACTATCAGAATTGAAGCTATCGCTATCGATATTAATACTAAGAAAAGAAATAACATCTTGCTTTAAAGAGGGGTCTTTAACAATGTCGGTTGTAATTATTAAATCGTCGTTATCGAAAGAAAGTTCGGGTTAAGAAAGAGTTGGTCGAGGAATTTTTTTTTTTACTACTAGTTTTCGTATACAAAATACAATTTACAACACTACTTTTTAATCTATAACCGCACAACCAATTCAATTGTATTTTACAATTAATTATGAGTCGAAAACGCACTCGTTCGAAGAAGCTTCTAAGGATTTTTCAATACAAAAGCCACGCTCAACCAGGTAGTCCTAATGCAATTGAAGATCTTGCGACGCGTCTTCGACGCGCTACAACATTCTTGTCCGAATACCCTTACGAGACTCAAAAAACTGCCGCGCGTATTTACGATCTCAGTGAGCGCACGTTGAATAGTTACCTCAAGCGACCGAAGAATCGTAAGCACGGCGGTCAAAACAAGATCTTACAAAACAACAGCGAATCGTCGATAAGCTTTGGAAAGAAGAAAGAGATGCTGAGTATCGTAAAGGAGTCGATTCACGCAAAGCTGAGCGCGAGCGTAAAAGGATTATACGAAAACGCTTTGCTGCAAGTCTAATTATTGAAGACGACGATATAATACTCATTCCAATTCTCGATTCGAAAGAGATTTGGTGGATGCAACAACCTCTTGAGCGTCAAATTTTGCGGCCTCGTAAAAAAGGTATTCCTCGACCAACTCTTTCTCAACTCGAACTTTCTTTCGATAACGACGATTTGATAATTACAACCGACACTGTTAAAGACCCCTCTTTAAAGCAAGATGTTATTCCTTTTCTTAGTATTAATATCGATAGCGATAGCTTCAATTCTAATAGTAGTAAAGATTCAAACGATTCGTTGCGTAAAGTAAAAGACGAGTCAGAATCTAATAAAAATAACGATCGATAGTCAAATATTTCATCAAATGATACGATTTTGAATGTTTCGGAAGAAGATGTAGTAGTAGATTAGTTATTTATGTAAATATTTTTAAGTTGTAATAGTATTTGCTATAGTAAATAAAAATTTCTAACATATTTTCGAAAAATCCGCACTCGCTTCCGATCCGCAGTCGCTTATACCGACTAAGACTGAAAGGCTGAAAGGAGGCCCACTTAAGCGAGCCGACGATTAGTTTTTTTAATTCTTATTGCTTAACGTATCACGTAGCTAAGTAGCGGTGTAAGTCACGCATTAGTTGTTTAAATTGCCGTCAATTGAGCCGAAAATCTAAAGATCTTTTTTATCAAGGCCTTTTTATTAGCTAAGATATATTTTAATAAATTCTTTTTATAAAAAGAAAAGCGCGGACTTATAGACTTCATTAAGATCGGTATTAAAGTAATTGCAATCATAAATCGCGAAACTAAACTTCTTGCCGTTTTTCTATTATTAAGCTGCTTAAGCGTAGTCGTTCGGCTATAAGCCTTTTCTTTTCGATTAATTATTAACTTATCTTTTCGTCTTTATAATAAACTAGCCGAAACGAAAAGTAGCCGGTCTATTATTACGTTTCGTAAGCAGTTTAACGAATTAAGAAAAAGTATAATTATTTTTAATCTTAATATAGCTATTAGCTTGCTTTTTGTAGTCGATATAAAAGAATGATTAAGAAAAAAGAATCTAGTATAAAGTGCTAGTTTTGTTTATTAAGTAATACAATTAATAACACTCGAAATTTATCGTTAACAAAGTCAAGTAACTCGCTATCTCGTCGGTAATAGCATCTAATTATAATTCTTTTAAGTCCGAGATCATCTGCTAATCTAGTTTAATAGCGTTGCCGATTTCGTCGGCATCGATAAAAAGGCTTTGTAAAAAAAGGTCGTAAAGCAAGAATCAAAGTCTTCGTTTTTTTTATTATAAATCGTATTTCCGAAAGCAAATGTCTTTTCGAGCTTTTTTAACGAGTGCTAAGCTATTAGCTTTAATGATTTTCGTACGAGCTTTAATGCGAATGCGAAGCTCTTTATCGGTCTTGATTTCGAAAAAAAAGAGTAATAGTAGTAGTAGTAGTATTCGTTTAACGTCCACGGGTCGCTTTCTACAGCGAGTCTTATGACCTCTTTAAAAGTATATAAACGTGCAGCTAGTCCTTACATATATAAGAGCACAAGACGCATATAGCGTAAGAGCAGATCTCGAGAGAATAATACAAGTATAACGGTGTTTCTTTTTATTAAAACGATGTGTAAAAAATATATTAAGCAAGCATATAAGCGGGTTTTTATAAAAGATCGAAGTTAATATCGTTTGCCGAAGCAAGCTACGCGAGTAATTAAGTTTATAACGGAGCACTTAAGCTCGTTTAATATAAAGTGAAGAAAAGAAAAAAAAAAGAAAAATTACTAGTAATCAATTAAAAGTTAAATAAGTGTAAGCTTTCGTAATAGTGCTTCGATATGCAAAATCGATCCGCTATTAATATCGAAAGCAAATTTTAAAGTAGAACTTCGTGACTTTTAAAAGACTATAAAAGTTAATTAACGAAGCTTTAAAAGAGCGTATATAAGCTATCGCTTTTCGCGAGGTAGAAAGCGGAATGAATGATCATGTCTTTTTAAACTATCAATTAAAAGAGCGTTAAGCTCTTTTACAAAAGCCAATGTATATCGAAGACTTGTTTTTCCGGCAAAAGCAAGTGGTTTTCGCGTTTTTATAACGATATTTCCGATAATACTACGCAAAATCTCCGTGCTAAGTTCGCAACGCAAATAGTTTGTATAATACGTATTTAAGCAAATGTAATTCTAGCGAAGCTTTATTTGCGTACTCGAGACTTTAATCGCGATATTAAATAAAGAGCTTCGCTTTACTCGCACTTTATTATCTATCTCGTGCTTAATCGATTAAAGTCTTAATAATAGACTTGATCTTAAACGCCGTCAGCTCGAAAGTAAGTCTCGATATAAGCTTAAGCCTTGCTTTTTCGTCGGCGAGCCGATCCGTTGTTTCGTTGCTAATAATACTAATATATCTCGAAGCTTATTTAACGCTAACTTTTAATTATTTTATCACCTTTTAAATGCGTAAGAACGTTTATTAAAAGGTAGCTAAAGCAGTGCTTCGTATATACTAGATCACGGACGTACTGTTTATATATAATTATATGCGGCAATAAGTAAGGTCTAATAAAGGCCGAATCGCGTGGTCGAGCGCTTTTTAAGCTTTTATTGCTTTTGCGTTAAAAACGTGCGACAAATTATTAATAGCTTTTTTGCTTATAGCAATCTTCTTTTATCTTTAATAAATAACGTATTCGTATTCGACGTATTTATACTCGTTTTTATATTGCTTTAAGCCGTTTAAGAAAAAGATAATATTTCGATTAATAAATTAAGCTTACTATTCTTTAAAGTCTTTAGCGGCTTGCTTTTTCTTAACGCTTTAAGTAAAGTCCGTACGGCACTTAATTAAAAAGTAAAAGTGAGCTAGCTTTAGTCGTAAGCAAAAAGAAAGCATAGCTTTTAGTTTTTATAATTTTGTTTTGATCCGTTATCGAAAGCTTATAACAAGACTTTTAATAATTATAAAAAGAAAAATGCGCTTTATTATCGAGTAAGCCTTGTCAATTATTCGTAGCCGTAATACTTGCCGCATTTTAATCTCTTCGAATGCTATTTTTTTAAAAGAGAGTCTAGCGTTCTTTAAAAAAGTAATAGTTAAAACCGTACGCTAAGTAAGAAAGACACTTTTCGCCGCGTAAGCAATAATTTTATTAATCGTATCGATATGTTTTTTTAAGCTTGCGTTGACTTTTTTATTTAAATTATCTTTAGTTAAGTGTCGTAAAAGCTTCGTTCGTCTTTCGTATTAAGCTTCGATGCTATATAAAATCGATAGCAATACGCAAATGATTATTGCTTTGCGTAGCGCGTAAGCGAAAAGACCGTTCGCCGTGCGAGCGAAGCTTTTGATATAAAATACTACTCGTCGTGCTTTTTTAGCTTTTTCGGATAAATAGCGTTTAAAAGTCATCTTCCGATCGAACTATACCTTAAGCTATTATAACTTCGAAATAGCTCTTATTATCGAAGGCTGCGCTTAAAAGCTTAGAATAATATCGGTCCCGTTTAGTTATAAGATAATTATATTTAAAGCAAAGTCTTCGTTTTTATAAAAAAAGTAGATTATTTTTATTTTTTTTAAAGCAAAAAAGATTTAATTCTTTACTTCGTAAGCTAAAATGTTTTAAATATCTATCGCGAAAAAAGTGATATTAAATATAAGTAAGTATAACGCTTTATAAATGCAAATATTATTAGCGTATTTAAATCGCAATATTATGTTTTAATTAAAAAGTTCCGCGAAGTATAACATATATAAAACGAAAGATAACGGTGATTTTTAAAATGTATTATATTTTACGTCGTATCGATCCGTAATTGCACTTTCGAAACGCATTTAAATTTATCGATCGTTAAGAAAAGAGTGAATAAGCGTTAAAAAAAGAAAAAGCTAGCTTTGCTTATTTACACGCTTAAAAAGCCGGCGCTTAAGCAAAGCGTCGAAAGCTTTTTAAACGTTTAATATTATTATCGTAATAATTTTGCTTGCTAAAAAAGCTGCTTTAATATCGTAAGTAAAGCAAGCTACGAAGTTTATAATAGATCGCTTAAGTAAAGCTCCGCTATATTAAAAGCTTAGAATACTTGAAGTTAAAAAGGTTTAAGCAATTCTTTTAGCGATAATACGGTTTAAACTTTTAAATATATAAGAAAGAAAAGCTATTAAGCGCTACGAGCGCATCGAAGTCTTGTTTTTCTTGCTTATTTTAAGCATTATAACTATTTCCGCTAGTTTTTAATAAGTAAAGAAAAAGCTGTATCGAAAGCAAGCGTTAAGCAAAGCGTAGATATAATATCGAATATGCTATTAAACTTTTTTCAAAAGTTTAATAATAATTCGGTCCGTACTTAGCGAAATGCTAATTACTTTTATAATGCTCTGTTTTACTTTTTTGAAAGAAACGATCAAGTTTTACGATAAGTGCTTCGTGCCGTTGTATTAAAATTCTTTTGGAAAGTCATTTTCGGCGTTAAATCGGCCGAGTATAATCCGTCGTAATAAGTCTATTTTTTCTTTAATGTTTTATACGATGACTTTTTCGTATATAAAAAAAAAAGATTTAAGATTAATAATCAGCTTGTATTAGCCGATCACTTTATATAAGTCTTTATCGTTTGCAATTCCGTTTAATATTTATATTTAATAGTTCTTTTTAGCTTTACGTATAGCGTTGCGAAAGTGCTTAGTCTTATCCGTTAAGATACGATCGATGAAGTTCTAGCGCGCTTTAATATGTTCGTAATAAGCTCGTTTAACTTTCGAAGTTTATTAAAAAGCTATCTTGCTTATATCTTTATAAAATATGCTAACGGCTTTAATTGCGTTTTCGAAGATCTTTGCGAATGCTAAAGCACTTTATTTAATTTATATAAAGTTATAAAAACTCGAAAGGTTTGAAAAAGTGTTTATGCTATTGCGTATAAAGTCTTTAAACTTGTTTATATTTTTATTTATTATTTTCTTATAAAACTGGTTTACCGGCACGCGCTTTCGTCTCGGGATCGTAATAATTAAAGTCTAATAGTTTAAAATGCTATGCAAGTCTTTTTTTATTATCGTAATAACGTACGGTATATTTAAAAAAGTAAAGTCTAAAACGTAGCTAAATTAATATATAAGTTTTCTTAGCACGCCGATAAAGTCTATACCGCTCGTTATAAATTAATCCGCAAGATCTTTTCTTTAATAAGCGGTTCGAACCTTTAATTCGAACATCTCGTATTGCATATTAAAGTCTTTTTTTATTAAGCACTTATAATTAAAAGTTAAGTGTAAAACGTAGTTTATAACTTTATTAATAATCAGTTGTTTATAAGCGTTAAAAATAATATATTTATTAACGTCGATTTAAAGTATATCTTTATTTTAAACCGATCGTCGCTGCTTTATATAAAGTCCAGCTC